ATTGTCGATTGTCGATTATACTAAATGTGGACTTAGCAAGGGGCGTCGGTGCTGCATGTGGCCGTGGCGTCCAGCGACGAGACCATGGTCGAGATGTTGGTCTCACACGGTGCTGTAGCGCTGGCCCTGGACCACGTACGTCCATCGATACCCAAGACAAAGAGAAAAGCAGGAGTGTGATTGTGGTGTCTAGGCTGGCACGACGCCGCTGCTCTCAGCCGCGCGAGTGGGCAACGTGGCTATCACAAGAATGCTCTTGAGTACGCTGACGTCGGAGACGATGCGACCTGCGATCGACAGCTGCCTCGAGGCCGCCATCGAGTCCAAGCACTGGCCTGTGTCGCAGGAGCTCTTGCAGTCGCTCCGCTCCAACTTTTCCGGCAACGACATGACGGTAGGATCCATAACACTACAACAACGTCCTGCTGACATTATTCCCTTATTGTCGATTAGAGAATGGCGTTTCTGGCCGCGACGACCGGGCATCTCGAAATGCTACACGAGTTGCTCTCCCTGCACCCCGACCTGCTCTACACGCTCCATGTACTTAGTTTCAACCTGCGATGACCATGGTTTTGACTGGGATGACCAGGACGACAAGACGACGTTGCTTTTGCAAGCTGCAAAGAACGACCACGAAGAGGTGGTGGGTTCGCTCCTCGCTCGGCTGCTGCCGACGGCCACGACGTACTGCGCGTCAAAGCTGCGCGCGTTTCTCGACGCGCATCCCGCGCTGCTCTCGCACGCAACGGTACTGTTTTCGATGTATATATATATATATGACGATATTGAACATGTTGTAGGCAACCCAACATCCCGACTCGGTCGTTGCCGGTCTGCTCGCCGTGCTCCTGCCCGAAAGCGACGACAGCGCAACGACGTACCGGGTCTGGCGCCAACGCCATGCGACGCTCCAGCAAGTCCACGCACACCTGCATCATTGCTCCACGGTACCCAATTCTGTCTACCCTTTGATCGAAATGCTACATATTGTCTGCAGAAGGACGACCGCACGGCGCTGCAAGTTGCGACAAGCGCCGCGGTCCAGGACCGACTCCGAGTGTTTGGCCAGGACGTCGACGCGCACCGCACACGTGTCTGTGCCCAAATGCAGTCGCTCGTATGTTGACCAATGCGCGCACAAGCTGATTGGCTCGTATTCTGCTTCCTGGTAGGAAGAAGCTTTGACGGTCGCTGTCGAAACCAAGGACTGGGCAACAGTCCTTGCGCTATTGACTCAAGGCGTCCCGGTGGTC